GTTTTCGCACGGGGCCCATCACTGTCGAAGTGCAGACGGACAGGACCTCGTATTGCGCGGGAGAAAACATTTTAATATCTGCCGAGATCAACAACATGAGCAACCGGAAAATGGAAATGACGACAGCGACGCTGAGACAGGTATGTGAATTCGACCGTATTCAAACAGACACCGAGAGTATATGAAACACCCTTGTAAGCTTATGAGCTCACTTATAAAACCTTCCCACCAGTCCAGAAATGTACTATAATTGCACGGATACGATTATCTATCAAACACAAAGACGGAAACTATTATTGTTCAATGGGCTGAAAGTTTCACTTTAAAATTGTCCATCTTACAATTGCAAGGGGATGGGTACCTTTACAATGACGTCATCGCCACACTTTATTATTAGATACATGTGTATGGATTGAAAACTTTGAAAAAAATGACAAAGAATCTTTGTATAATCGAATTTGTTGTCTTGTACGAAAAATATCTTCTTCATTCCCACAGAGTGTAACGTTCCGTGCGAAGTTGAAATCAAGAACGCCAACCGAAGAAATAATCATGATACGAGGAGAGGCCATTCCGCCGCGGAGTTCAGATAAATGGGACAATGAAATACTTGAGATCCCAGCTCTACCGCCCTCACAGCTCAGACACTGTAGGATTATTGACATTTCCTATGACGTAGAGGTTAGTGTCTCGTCAGGGGTCAACAAAGGTCAATGTAATTGCAAATCGTACAATTTGTGTCACAATTCGATGCGGGTGACATGCGGAGTAAATATAAAGATTGTAAACTGCATTTATCACGCGAACACTGAACATGTATATATTTATGGAACGCTGCGATTTGGAATATGCGGTAAATTATGTAGACCCGAAGAAAAATAGAAGCAAATTGGTGTGACTTGTTTGTGATCTCTTCGTCAAAATTGGAAGGACAAATACTTAGTCTAATAAAGTCATCTAAAAACATGTCATTTTATACATAACTCATTATATGCAAAATATTTCAGTTTCAGTGATGTACTCTTGGCAACAATCCTGATCGGAAATCTTTTTGTATCTTTGAGAATTCCGGACAGTCTTTTGACAAAAACAGTCACAAAGTGTACTAGTGTGTCGAGTCGTGTTCTAATACCCCCAGCTTCAGTCCCTAAAATATATACATTGCTATTTTTACGTATTTAGTAAATTAAAAAGTTCTAAATTTGAAATTATATTTCGGAGTTGCACTTACAATGCGCTTGTTTTTACAGTTTACAGTTTTCATATCGGGCATGCATTACAAGAATATAACCATGCACCTACCGATAAAGATAGGCAACGTGCAGCTCAGGACAGCATTACAGCAACAACCCGTGTGTGCAGTGGCCACACCTATCGACATTAAAGAACCAGAGGGAGAACAAATTGCAGACACCCGACGCGTTGACGAAGTGCAGCCGATATTACGTAAGTTAGTCTGTGTCACGTGATTTTTTTCATCATACGTCATCAAATCCGCCGTCTTGTTAATTCTAGCACAGTCCCTCCAGGAAGAAGTTCCGGTCACTAAAATATTCCCTCCATTACATTTTTACTACTATGTTGCTCGTATTAATATTTAAATTTGAAAAAACAGACATTCATAAACAAAGTTTTGGCAGCTTATAGTGTAAATGCGTTACCGTGAAGTAACGTAACGAGTCTGATGACTTAAGGTAGCGAGAAGGTTTTGTGACGTTTTTAAATAAAACATTCTCTGTCTGTTGTCTCGTTCAGAACAGTAATTTAGGTTATATATATCAAAAGACTAAGTATAGAGGTGCAAGTTCGCACAAACTGGACAGACATTGTTTACATAATTATCACGTGACATCAACAATGGCGAACCTTGTAAAAATGACTAAGTACGCGATTGCGAGAGCACACTGCGGAATTTCCTGGTGAAATTTAAGTTATGCATTGTCCGTAATCAAGTCCATTGAAATGCGTCTCCGATAATCAAAAGACCTATTATTCCGATTTCTATGCAGGTTTGTTTTTTTGTCCCCAAATTATTTCATACTTGGCACCTTTAACAGACTATTATTCTGTGACAAAGCATTTTCTTTAAAAACCCAGACATATTTCGCACCATCATTATCTTTTGAACGATAACTGCGAGTATGAATGTCCTAGTCCGAACGCACTTGATTTGGCGGCGGTCCCAATGAGTCGTTCTCGATCAAAACTT